GGGCTCCGGGGGGGGGCGGCGACGGAGGGGCGCCTCAGCCTTTCTCGAGGTGGGGGGGGCGGCGGCGGACGGAGGAGCGGAGCGAAGCTTTCTCTACACCCCCCCAATGACGGCTCTCTCCGAGCGGGAAAAGCCTCCTTCTTCGGCTTGGAAGGCGCCCCCCCTCCCCACCGCCGGGTCCCTCTCCCCGAGGACCGGGGGGGGGCTTCCCGGGGATCCTGCCTCGGCCTTGCCCCCGCTGGCTTTGCTGGAAAGCCGAGCGCCCCTTTCGCCGCTTCTGGGGAGCTTGGGGCTTCTTCTCTTCCGCCCCCCCTCCCGCGAGGATCCGGATCCTGCCTCCTCGCGAGTAACGCGTGGGTGCAACGAGCCTCCGCTTGAGTGGCTTTGTGCAGCACACACCCCGGCGCGCTGCTCTTAGGGCCCGTCTTCGTGCAGCCCAGGCGACAGGATCCCTACTCAAGAGGAGCAGCCTCTTTTTTGGGGGGCGGGAAGCCCAGGATTGGCCCCGGTGCAAAAATTGGGGGGGAGGGATGACTTTGAATGTGGAGGACCCCAGTTGAGGGTGCATTGTGGTCATAATGTTGGGTATTTGTTCAAGCGCCTCTAGGGTGACCCCATCTTTTCATTCATTCCGAGAGGAGAAATCCTCACCTTGAAAGAGGGGTTTTTTTTCCAGCATTGGAGATTTTGCCCCCCATTTGATGAGTTGTCCATGCCAAGTCTGGTTGAAAAGGTAACAGGAGGATAGACTCCTAGAATAATGGAGTTGGAAGGGGATCTATAAGGCCATCTAGTCCAACCCCCTGCTCAAGGCAGGAATCCAAATGAAAGCAGATCTGACAGATGATTGTCCGGTTTTCTTTTGACTGCCTCCATCCAGCCTTGGAGCGCCCACCACTTCCCAGTTCCCGCTCTAAGGTTGGAGATATTTTTCCTTCGTATTCAGCCTATGAAGGCAGATCAGGGACCTTGGAGTTGTCTGTCTACCACCATGACCCCCTGGATAATCAGTTCAGCAAGTGGACAGGTCCCCTGCTGACTACCCTCTTTCTCATTTGAATGAGATACAATGTAATTCTGTTTAATTTTTTTTTTTAGAAAATAATGTTGCTTCTGTACATAATAGATATTAATGTGTGATGTTTTATGCCAGTCATTGTCCACTTTTGATCTCCATTTTTTCTTTGTTCTTCAATTTTTTTTGAAGTGCAAGTGGACACTTTAAGGAAGGGGAAGGGATGCTGCCTGTAAATAATTAATTGTAAAAATTTCCTGCCCTGTTTGATTCAGAAGGAGCTTGATATTTTACAGCAGCCTCTCTGCCTCCTGGTGCTGTCCAATTTGGGGGGGGGGTTGTAACTCCAGCAGCCACCATGGCTGTTCCAGCTGGTGATGATTGGAATAGTAGGCCAGCAACTTCAGGAAAGCGGTGGGTTCAGGAAGAGCAGGCAGCAGTTGTGAAACCATGTGTGGGTTGTACGGAAAGATGAAGAGGTCAAGGGCGGCTGGAACATGTACAGACTGATTCCATTCGTTGATGCTCAGAGGTCCTGTGTCCGTGGATGTCCATTCCTTTGGAAGTGTCATTAGAATCACAGCCTTCTGTCATCCTTTCTCTCTGATTGTGTTGAGGATTAAATTCTTTTGCCTGTAAACACGTTGTTCACCCTGTTAGGCTCTGCTTTGTTTCAACAAATTTTCCGATCATACGTTTGTGTTTGCAGATGAAGTTGGTGCTCTGGTTTTTGATATTGGCTCCTATACAGTCAGAGCTGGGTATGCAGGGGAGGACTGCCCGAAGGTAAGAATGAAAGTGAGATATTAGATTAAATGAGAGGAAGTGACTTTAAATGTCTGACACACAGAAATTCTCAGTTCAGTGTTACATTTGAATTCTATATAGTGAGGTCCTCAGACAGTAAGGAACAGCCCAGTAAAACCTAAGAGTTCTGCCCAGTGAATGTTGATTTTATTCTCATATTGTAATTGGAGACTCTTCCCTTAAAAAAACAACCCTACATTCTTGCAAAACAACTGTTTGTCTCTAATGATGCATCTGATACTGAACTTCTGTTGTCTTACTGTTTCCAGTTACCTCTTCAGAAATTTTTGGCTCTTTCAACTTTTTGATTAAATAATGTGTACATGAATGGGATCTTTATAATATACACACCTTATATTTTGGCTTTAATCCTTTATTTGGCCAATTCAGGAGCTATCTTTGTTTTAGGGAGGGCATATTGACGTGAGAATTTTGAAGAGGAAACGTAGACCTTGTTAGAGACAGGTGTGTTGCTCCATAATGATGAAGACATGAATTTTCAAATTAGCACTTAGCTATGAATTTTGCCAGATTTTCTTGGTTGATTAATTCTGTCTTGCTTAAAATTGCCAGTTGCCAAAGTACAACAATTCTGGCACAGAGCACAGAACTTATCCCAGTAGATCTGGACATGAGTTTTTATATGTCCAAGAATAAGAAGCTTAAATATATTTTTCTCTCTGGCACTTTTGGAATCTTTGTAACATAATGTTACACAAGGAACATTACTTCAGGGGTTGGTTGGGTATGCTTTTCCCTCCCGGTAGTACAATAATACGAAACCTGTCTTGTGAAACAGCAAGTATATCGTCTCTGGCCCATCAGTCAAATCCATTATGCTTCCAGGTACTAGAGACAGGGTTTTCTCAGTGTTGGCCCCAGACCTTTGTAATGTCCTGTTCCAGAGATGTATATGGCATCATCATTGTGGTCCTAAAAAGTTAACCAACAGAACATGGACGTTCTTAACAATTCGTGAGTATTTGAGGTGGTAGTGATTACTTCATCTCTTCCCCAAAAAGTCTCTCTCAGATAGATTATAGAGAGCCAACAACCATCATCTAACTCTGTTGGGTTTTGTTCAAAACTTTGCACTTCAGGTTGACTTTCCTACTGCAATTGGTGTGGTACTGGACCGGGATGATGGAAGTTCTATGATGGAGATTGATGGCGACAAAAGCAAACAAGGGGGTCCAACTTACTACATAGACACAAATACGTTGCGAGTTCCAAGGGAGAACATGGAAGCTATTTTACCCTTGAAAAATGGAATGAGTACGGAACTTTGCTTTCCTCTTAAAATGCATGTTTTTTTTTTTATTTTAGACAGAAGCATTGTTACAAGGAAAAATCTGTTTAAATGGTAAAACGGTTTGAAAAATAGCTCTGTTCTGTTTTTTCCCTTTCACTACCAGTATGACTAGCTAAAAACTCATTCTGAAGAACGCCGCCCTCTCCTGAAACATGATTAGCAAATGTAACTGAGTTTGTTACCCTTAACCGTCAGCCAGGTTTCACATGCACGATGAAAGCATCACTTAGCTTGCCTGTATAATCTGTTTCCCTTGAAGATTGTTTTCAGGTGGATACAATTGCCAAACAGAAACTAGGGATGCGGGAACATGCTGTGACTTTACCACGGCTTCCGCAAACCAATTCCAGTTTCATATCTCAGTTGCAGTACTGAGACATAACACTTGACCTCAGTTAAGAAAAAACAAACCTTCATGAACCTTTATGTTTGCAGAAGACCAGTACGTTTATGATCACAAACTGTCATCTGTTAATAAGGAGCCTTACTGTCATGGCTCTTTAATAAAGTGATTGTTCAGATGGCTATTCTAGACTGCTGCCATACAGCATTTGCCGTGTAGTTCACAATTTGTAATCTTGGACCTATGGGTTTCCTTAAGAGTCTGAACTTGCACTTTGTATGCTTAAGATGTTTGGCTGCAGTGTTTCACAAGTGCGAGGGTTATTGATTTTCAATGGTTTAAGATTGGGTTTAATGTTGCCAATCCCAGATTTCGATTGCTCCTTATGGATTATATTTTGACACCTGCTGTGCCTTACATTGATGCATGCTTCAGGTTTCATGCATGCCTAAAGCTGAGTGGCCCTCACATCTTCCGTTTTGTTTCATGTTGCAGTTGAAGACTGGGATAGCTTCCAGGCCATTTTAGATCACACCTACAAAATGCACATTAAATCTGAAGCTGCCTTGCATCCTGTCCTCATGTCAGAAGCACCAGTGAGTAAAAAAAATGCATTATCTTTCTTTGAGTTAACAGATTTGATGGGAGACGTCTGGCGGTTGAAGAGTTGCAGAACTAAAACATTTGAAGGGTAAACGGGTAACTCGTGTTAAGAGCTGGCATTTGTCAAATCGGTTCTTATCCATAGCTAGATTGTCATCACGTAAATTTAAAGGAGAGTTTTCTAATCATGCATATATTTTTTCCAATAATTGTGTTGTATAGAGTTCAATGGTATTGCTCAGGACAGTTTGTTAGACAGTCTGTGTATTGTTTTGTTTCCTATTTGTGGTGGTGATTTTGAGACAATTTCTTGATATGTACAAGTGACCACTGACTTTTTTCTGTTTAGTTTCGGGAAGATGCTTCTTCCTCCCCCACCCTTGCTCTCCACTGAGTTTTTGGCATTGTCTGTCATGCAAGGGATAATGCCCAGGTCATCAAGTTGTTAAGCTGTTTTTTTGCACATTCTGTGAAAATGGGAGCTGGATCTCTCTCCAAGGGATTTTTATAGCAGCCATTCTAGTTGTCTGTAGAATTTTTCCTCTTCCAAAGTTTCTCTATAGCTAAGGAAGACCAGGAGCCAGTGGTGTGAAGATCCATTCCATTTCCCAGTATCATCCCTGACATCACCCAGTTTTGCATTAAATGTGCACAAATGAAAACCAAGTTCCAGTTGAAGCCTGCATAAATACTGTACTGCAATCTTTCACTTTAAATGGTGTATGAAACCACTTTTGACCTGGGAAAAGGGAAGAAATTAGAGCTGATTTATAGAATGTAAATCATGATTTAAATTTTAAAAAGTTTTTTTTGAAGATTTAAGTAAAACAAAATAATTTTTAAATTTAGATTGTGGTTTAAATCAATCTCTTTTTAAGAATCATTGATTTTTATCCACCCTAGAAGAAGTTATCCTTGCAGGTTATTGGGATTGGGCATCCGTGCTTCAAATTGTCTTCCTAGTTTGCAATCTGTGGTTTGCCTTCAGTTGTTTAGAACAAGACGTAACCCTGAATTATGTGTCTCATATATTTTTATCCTATGAGTGTTTAAGGGAGGGCCTATTACTCTTTGGAGTATGGGTGAGGACTTGTTTTTCTTTTTGTTCTTACAGTGGAATACCAGAGCAAAGCGTGAGAAGCTGACAGAACTGATGTTTGAACATTACAACATTCCAGCTTTCTTCCTGAGCAAAACTGCAGTGCTTACAGCGTATCCAAGAATAAGGGGTCATAATTCCAAACTTTCTGTGGACCTTTTAAAAGCAAGCATGAAAATTCAAATCCACTTTTTAGTCCTGACTAAAATGGGTACCATTTACGCAAGTGTTGAACTCTAGAAAGCTTGAAGTAGTTCAGCAAGTCTTGTTTTCGCTGGGACTAACCATTGGCTGAAGACCAAAAATTTAAATTTTTTCTTCACATCCTGGTCCCGAAGATGAGTAGATGACATATTTGTCTGTGGGCTTTAGGTGTGTGTGTGTTTTGTTTTGTTTTTTGGAGCTTGTTTCCAGATAGCAGTATCAAGACGAAAGAAGTGAATTCTTATGCAAAGAACATGATTCTTATTGGGGAAGGTAGAAAGCTTTTTGGAGGCAAGGGTTAAGGTCAGAGGAGTAGGAAAAAAACAAAAGAAATTGTGAGGTTAGACTAACACCCTGTTTCCCTGAAAATAAGCCCTAGTAGGATTTTTCATAATACTCGTAATATAAGCCCTACCACAAAAATAAGCCCTAGGTAGTGAAACCCCACCCTCCACCACTGTGCAGCAATCAAAAGATGACATTACTGTATTTGAATAAATGTAGACTGTTGTACATGAAAAAAATAAAACATCCCCTGAAAATAACCCCTAATGCGTATTTTGGAGCAAAAATTAATATAAGACCCTGTCTTATTTTTGGGGAAGCAGGGTAGAAATGCAATTGATAAGAATTCGCCTAGTATCGTGGATGGAGGCTCAAATTTTAAGCAGTTATACAGACTGATGCTAAACATGTTAACTTGGAAGTCAGTCCTATTAAGTTCAGTCAGGTTTGATCTCCATCCGTTGTGGGTAGAGCTGCTGCCGTACTTAATGTTCTCAACTGACTTACTGGAAGCAGTGGATAACAGTGAGATGATATCATAAAATTTGCAGAAGAAAGATAAATTGTAGTGTACCTTGTCATGTGGTTATTGTGTACATACTTTATTTACTTCCTTAACTCTTCTAACTAGCTTTGCTAATGGCAGATCCACGGGCTTGATCCTAGATAGTGGAGCAACACACACCACCGCAATTCCGGTACACGATGGGTACGTGCTCCAGCAAGGTAAGAATTCTTCCAGGAGAGGCTGGTTAGTAATCTTAGGCAGTAATATTGAGTACATAGTACTGTATATTTGAGACAAATGAATAATATGACTTTTCCATGCAACGCAAGCTAAATAGATAGAGTTGATTTTTGAAAGATGTGATCGCCAAGAGCACTGATTTTTTTAAAAAAGCATTCGAGTCCTAGAGCGTATTGATGTTGATCAGTCATATGAGACAAAATGAAGCTTCTGTATTCAGAAGCAATCTACCTTTGAAGAACAGATGGTGAGAATAAAGATCTGGATCAGAGAGGCAGTGACTGCTGAGATTGGTGCCTGTTGTTAATATAAATTGTGTGTTTGGATGGTGGGGGGGTTTCTCTTATTAAGCAGAAACACTTTCATTTGGCACCTGGTGGTCTTCTAAAATTTTAAGCGGCATGTGGTTTCTTTCACTCCAGTGTCTTTTATGCCTTTGAACACCATGTAACATCTCTCTTGGGGAATTTCTGTGAATCATGCCCTGCTTAAATCTGAGAGCATAGATTTAAGGATGAAGAAGCCCTTCTTGACTGTTAGATGGCCACAACTTTACAGTGGTGCCTCACATTATGACATTAATTCATTCCAGCGAAATTGCTGTAGAACGAAAACAAAATGCAAAAATAAAAAACCCATTGAAACTCATTAAAACCTGTTTAATGCGTTCGAATGGGCTAAAAGCTCACCGTCCAGTGAAGATCCTCCATAGGGCGGCCATTTTCGGTGGCTGTCTTGCGAGGAATCCGTCCCAGAAAACAGCGGGGAGCCATTTTATTTACCCGGCGGCCATTTTGAAACTGCCGATCAGCTGTAGGAAAATCACCGTTTTGCAAAGAATCGGTTCCCGAAGAAGGGAACCGATCATCACAAAGCGAAAAGCCTATTCAGACCATTGTTTTGCGATCACAAAAGCGATCGCAAAAACATCGTCGTAATGCGGTTTTGTCGTAGTGCAGGGCAATTGTAAAGCGGATCACGACTATTCGGTAGCCTGCCTGCTCATGAGGGGATGGATCCATGGATGTGGTCAAGTGTCCTTCAAGCTCATAATTCTTTGAGGAGTTGCAAGTGGCCTCAGAAGGGGGATAGAGATGAGCTATTCCGATCAATGGGGGAAGATTTAACCCTTTACTGTATCTCACTTGTGCTGTGCATTTCATTTGCAGGGATTGTGAAATCACCTCTGGCTGGTGACTTTATTACAATGCAGTGCAGGGAGCTGTTTCAGGAAATGAACATTGAAATAATCCCTCCGTATATGATTGCATCCAAGGTAAGAGACTAAGCTGGATATAATGAAAGGGGCTGAAACTTGCTGGCTTGGTGTGTGTGTGTTGGCTTTTTTCTTTTGAGCCTTGTTTCAGGCAGTGTTCCTCAAACATTCTGAACTTGAATGAGCTTCCTGAACATTTTAGGGCTCTAGCAACTAGAGTTTGCCTGTGTGCTCATCTGGTTGATTCGCTGGATTAACAGGGTGGTCACAATACACCGATCAGCTGCAAGGTTAAAACCACCTGCCTAATATTGTGTAGGTCCCCTTTGTGCGGCCAAAACATCTCTGATGTGTCAAGGCATGGAGTCAAGACCTCTGAATGTGACCTGTGGCATTTGGCACCAAGACATTAACAGTAGATCCTTTTAAGTCCTGCAAGCTGCGAGGAGGGTCTCCGTGGATCGGATTTGGTGTTCCAGCACATCCCATTGATGTGCAATCAGATTGAGATTGGGGAATTTGGAGGCCAAGGCAACACCTTGAACTCTTCGCCGTGTTCCTCAAACCATTTCTGATCAATTTTTGCAGTGTGGCAGAGTGTGTTATCCTGCTGAAAGAGGCCACTGCCATCCAGGAACACAATTACCATGAAGTTGTATACATGGTCTGCAACAATATGTAGGTAGGTGGCACATGTCAAAGGAACATCCACATGAATACTGGGAACCAAGGTTTCCCAGCAGAACATTGGTCAGAGAAGAACACTGCCTTTGCCAGCTTGCCTTCTTCCACACTTTATTATATTGCCATGTCTTCCCCAGGTAAATGACATACACATGCGCCTGGCCATCCACCTGATTTAAAAGAAAACATAATTCATCAGACCAGGCAACTTTCTTCCGTTGTTCCATGGTTCAGTTCTGACATTCACATCTCCATTGTAGGCGCTTTTGGCAGTGGACCAGGATCATCATCATGGGTACTCAGACCAGTTTGCATCTACGCAGCCCCTGTAAGCAACAAAATGCAACACACTGTGTGTACTGACACCTGCCTATCATGGCAAGCATTGCGTTTTTCAGCAGTTTGACCTGCAGTAGCTCTCCTGTGTGATCCGACCAGACGAGCTAGCCTTTACTCTTTGTGTGCATCAGTGAGCCTTGAGCACCCACAACCCTGACGCTTATTTGCTGGTTGTCGTTCCTTCCACCACTTTTGATAGGTACTAATCACCGGGAACACCCTACAACTCTTGCTGTCTTGTAGATGCCCTGACCCAATCTAGCCATCACTCTCTGGCCCTTGTCAGAGAGTCACTTAGCTCTTTTTGCTTGCCCATATTTCCTGCTTCCAATACGTGAAGCTCAAAAGCTGACTTTTCATTTACTGCCTTAAAAAATCCCATCCCTTGAGAGGCGCGATTGTAACGATAGAATCAATGCTATTCCATTCATCTGCCAATGGCTTTAATGTTGTGACTGATCAGTGTATATCGCTCTGTTCTCTTAGTCCCGTTACGTTCAGCTGAAAAAAAAAAAAGGATAGTCAAGGACTCCAAAAAAAATCTCACTAAATTGGTCAAACGGGTGTTGAAGTGGCCAGTGGGTTTTGGTGTAAACGAATGTGAAGTGGTGAGCCGTAGGACAAGAAACCTAAGCCACCAAAACACTGATGGAGCCTGAGCTGGCAGTGACTGGCTAGGAAGTGTAGCTCCTGCCAAATAAAAATAAAAATCAAGATTCCATGTTGAAGATCATCAGGTGAGGAAATGAAAAACTTCCAGTGCCGTAAGGCTTTTATACAAGGCTGTGATACGGCCACCCTTGGAATATATTGTGCTCTTTTGCTCATTGCATCTTCTTGAGAGCAAGGTCGGATAAGGCATGGCAGAGGTCAACCAGCGTCATTGACTGGCTAGGTCAATACTACTGGTAGGAAAGGTTTATAACATTCGTGTCTGAGCTGTGGAAGTGTTAGAATGATGTTGATTTGCTCTTGCAGGAGCCAGTTCGTGAGGGTTCTCCAGCCAACTGGAAGAGGAAAGAGAAACTGCCTCCAGTCACAAGGACTTGGCACAACTATATGTGTAATGTGAGTGTGTTCTTCTGGGCCTAGAGAGAAATTAGCTGTGGAAGTGTTTTTCTGTGTCTGGTGAATGAGGCAAAGGAGTGAATTAATTGATTCAAAACAATGAAAGGCGGTGGACTCCTCCCATTTCAATATACGACATAAATCATCATTTTGAAGAAGGGGGTGAATCAGGGAGGGCCTTGTCATTAGGGAAGGGAAGGTGCCTGCCTCAGGCAGCAGGTTTGGGGTATTGTGAAAGGACTAATACATGGATAAATAACTTAATTTTGTTCTTGTTGTGCAGTCCAGAATGGGAAGATGCAGAGATTTTGCCTCTTGTGTCAGAACAACATGGCTGGCTATGGTATTATGTATTTTGACTGGCTGGGGTGGTGGTACTATCTGTTACTCCACCTCAGGCAGCAAAATTGAGTTAGAGTTGGATTGCCAATTGAAAGGATTCCATTGACTTGAATAGGAATCTTTTGCTACAGGCAGTCCACGAACTGCCCTTTAAATAAGCTTTTGATGCAATTAAGACTTATGAATATGTCTGTGATGGCACCCACAGGGATCATGTTAGAAGTTTTGGAGAAGGACTATTTCATGGGAAGGAAAAGGGGAAATGGTAGTGATATAAAATAACTTGTATTACATTTTTTTACAAGGTGTGAAGGATTTGTTTTAAGAAGTATTATTTAAGAGGAAGCCATTTTTCATTTTAAAGTTGTACACACAACAACTGGGAAATTGTAATTGGGACCTCATACTTTTATTGCTGCCTATGTTTGTAGTAAGAATGGTAACCTGGGTTCCCTAGATCTGTATGACTTACGCATGTTAGCCAGAATCCTGCCAATAGCTGCCTTAATGGTGTAGATGGCGATCCTGATATTTCTAGTGACATTTGTTACCCTCTGGCCATCTTGCTGCCTTTCTAAAGCCCTGAACCAGACCTGCCTTTCCTTGCATTTGTCAGGTGATACTCTGCTTTCGTGGAGCCATTCATTTTGACTCATTGCACCCTGACGAACACCTTTCGCTGCTCCAACATGTCCATGTTCCTCTTTTGTACAGTTCAGAGTTTCTAGCCTCTTTCATCTTTCTGCCCAGTGACATCGCTGGCCATGGAAACATGGTGTCCAGTAGTGTCCAGATGGAAGCCTATCCTTTATT